ATTATTTTTTTTTTCAGGTCAGAAAGCTCTTGCCCTGCAGGTTGGCTGGGGCAAGGTGAAGATGACCTTGTGGTCATTCAGTTGAAGCTGGGAATGAAATCGTTAGCTGTGCGAGGAGGGAAATGTGAGGAGAGCCCCTGAAGAGGTGAGATAAGAGGCACAGCGTGGCCAGGGCAGGGCTGGAGGTGCAGCAGGTTGTGAATGGGGAGAGAGGATGTGGGGTGGTTTTTTTTTTTTTTGTTTCCTTGGCTGATGGCTATGGAAAAAAAAAAAAAATCTGAAAAATGGGCTTCCTGCAAGACCAAGACTGAGGGAATTCCCCCTGGCTGCTGAGGCTCTGCCAAGTCCTTTGTTTCCTACAGCCCCACTGGTGGGTATCAACAGTGTAAATACTTTTCTTTTTTTTTCAGGTGTTGTTCAGGCTGTAGGACTTGGTTTCCCGGCGAGTTTCTCGGGTGCTTTGCTCACAGGACCCTCTGTGACATGGGGAAACTGAGGCAGGGAGGAGCCCAAATCGGAGGCGAAGGTTTGACAGAGGAGCTGAGCCCTTTCTGCGGCAGCTGGGCTGATGTTGGGGGGTCTTGGGTGGGAGTGCAAGGAGCGCATTTATTGCCCAGCAATGCCTTTGCTCACGCAACGCAAAATAAATCCTGGGTTTCGTGAGCATTCGAGCGAAGCAACAGCTTTGGCTTTGTGGTGAGAAAGGAAATAGTTTCTAGTGGACTTCAGTGGTGAGCCAGAACTTTGCTGCAGCCTGAAACAAACGGGGAGGGGGGGAAAAAAAAAACCCAACAAAAAAAACCCATGGTGCCAGGTTTGCCTGTGTCATGGCAGAGGGGAAACTCAAACCCAGTGACGCCTCCCTGCTCTGCCCCTGCAGGCAATTAACGCCCTGGGGAGAGCTGAGGTTGCTTAATTAAGTGGGATGGAGGTAAACTTGGATTCCGCGAAATAAAATAGCTTTTTATGGCGCGGGGATTCAGTGCTGCTTCTGATTTCATCCAGCGCTAAAGTGGATTATAAATGGCATTGGTTAATCTTAAACTAACATCAACAGGAAGCCAGTGGCTGGGGTGGGAAATTCCAAAGCTTGCAGACAATATGCTTTTGGCTGGTCTCTTGTGAACATTTATGGAGAAATTTGGTCCTGGAAACATTGGGTTTTTTGCATTAAAGCCCAGTATTAAGTAAACGAACTGAGCCAGAGGTTTTGCGTGTGTGTGGAAGGTTTGAGATCCTGTGAGGCTCAGCTGAAGTCTGAGGTTCCTTGAAATACTTTGATTTTTTTTTTTTTTGATTGAGCCGTGTCCCCATGGTCTCGGGGCTCCCTGGCACATAGTTTGGGGGCTGGCTAGCAGCTTAGGGGGCTTTAGGAGAGTACAAAGAAGTGGGCTGCAAAGGCGCGATGTGCTGGGCTGGGGAGGGGCTCGGCAACCCCCAAAATGGGCTGCCACCTTCTCCCGTCCTCTGCGAGCACCCGTTGCGGCCCCATGGGTCAGCTCGTGTGTGTAATTTGGCTCCCAACACGGGCGCTTTGGCTTTCACACGCGCTTTGTCGCAGTCGTTAAAGCAAGCCGCAGAGTTCTCCCTTCCTTCCCACCCTTCGGGTAGTTTCCTCTTAATAAGAGCCTTTTCATCTCTAATGTGAATACAAAAATGATGATTTCCTTACCTGTGCCTTAGCTTTGCCGACTGCGAAAGGCTTTTTAGTAGCTTTTGGACCTGACTTGGCTTGCTGGAAATACGTATCGCATCTGTTTCTCCTCCCAATGAACTGAAGGGATGGTGGGACCGCAGCGCTTTGCTTCCTTGGGCTTCCCATCACTGCTTCTCTCATCTGATTAACCAAACGAATCTATCCAAAAGCCGTTTGTTAGACTTGGTACCTTTGAAAGCTTTTTTTTTTTAACTTTTTCCCTTATAAATATCTGTTCCTAATGGAAGTCAGGAACCTCCAGGGCTGCGCAAGGACGGGGCATGGGGAAGGATGGTGAGCAGAGCCCACGTGGCTCCACGCCAGGGCCGTTTCAAGCCATCCTCCAAATTAACAGATGTTTAAAAGCGATTCCTTCCTCTCCTTCCTTTGGTGGAAGGGGAGAGAGGCCAGGGTGAGCCGAGGGGCTGCACGTGCAGGGATGCAGTACGTAGTCTGAGTGTGGTTAAAACCTTCCCCGGGGTGGTGTTTGCTGCCCGGCAAGGCAAACCTGCGCCCGGTCTGCACAGAAATGGTAAAACGGAGAAGCAGGAGGGGTTGGGGTTTACAGGAGTGTTTTCAGTAATGGCTTTGCCAAAAAAAGCCCAAACAAACCAAAAACAACAACAAAAAAGTGTGAAGCATCTGTACGTGGAGGGCAGTATCTCGTTCTTGAGCATGTGTGTGGGGGAAATCCTGGATGAATGTATTTTTGCCAGCTGAGCTGCGCAGCCGCAGCGCCGTGCCGGAGGCTCCCCAGCAGCTGGAAGGACGAGATTCCTGCAGTCCCGCACCGCTTCGTCAGGAGAGGCGGCATGCAAACACTCCCGGGTTGCTGGGAGAGGAGCCTGCCTCATGCTCCCTACCTGCCTCGACACCACGAGACGTGTGTTTTCCCATGGGAGCATCCCTCTCCGGAGGCGAAGCCGCTCGGCGAGAGCTCTCGGGGCACGTGGTTTATCGGCTCTCCCGGCTGCGAGAGCCCCGGGGCACAGGCAGACCGGAGGAGATGGATACTGGGTGGAAATTACCCATCCCCTGTGTGGGTTTGCCAAGCCCGCGGTATTTGTACAGGCAGGGTTGTGCCAGCTACAGCCTGGCAGCAAAGCCAGAAGCGCTGCCGGTTCTTGGGTCACCCTGTCCCACTCGTGTGTCTAAAGCAAATAATTTGATGGCTTTGTGCCCCTTGGTAGCGCCTCCGACCCTGCGGGAGCGTCGCACAGGAGCTGTTGTCTGGCTCTGGCAGCACAATTTTCCCCATGCGTTTTATACCCCGGTGTTGGGGAGGGGTTTGTTTCCCACCGCCTTTGCAACTCTGTCTCCGAAGCAGGAGAAATGGGATCTTAATAATTACTCCGTAAATAGCTTTTAGAGAGAAAGCCGCAGTTTGTCTTGTGCGGGATGCTGCCAGAGCGGCTGCTGCTCCCGTGGGGTTTTTCTTCCAGAGCATCCCTGGAAGAATCCCTTTGCACCTCGGCTGGCAGCAAAATCCCATCTCATGATGATCCTCTTGGGGGTGGGGGTCTCCAGATGGAAGTGGTTGATGTTGCCTCCATTTTCTTTCTTTTTTTTTTTTCTTTTCCTCTAAGAAATCCACCTTTCCGTGGGGGAGAATCTCTGGGCAACCCTCATGATTAGCAGTCCTTGGGCTGCGATCCCCCTGTGTGGCTCCCCCGGGTTATCACCCCCCCACCTTGCGATAGCGGGTGAGGATGTAAACCCCATTTCGGTGATCCTGAGTCACTCAAACCAGCGCTCCTGACTCTGCTGGGAAAAGCGTTACTCACGTGAGCCTGTTTGCCGGAGCTGGGCTCTAATTATGGGGTTTGCCCATCTCGTAGCGTGGGAACCGGAGCCATTAGCCCCTAAACCACCAGATCATTCCCAATACATTAATGTTTCTAATTAGTTAAGCCTGATGCCTTTTTCTCTCCATAATGACAGTGGCGCTAGTACTTACTCGTGTTCGCTCTGCGTGCCGGTACTTCATTATGTAAGGATACAGTATGTGTTGTAATACCTATTCCCAACTGACAGTGGGTTTTTTTTTTTGCATATGCCTCATCCAGAACTGATTAGGCAATGGAGAAGACAGACTAGTGCAAATAAATGTTTGGGTCACATCCTTCCTAATTAGCTGGGAAGTCATCAGTGCCTGGGGGGGGGGATTAGAGACAGGTGAGGACCCGGAGCTGGTGGGTCAGCTGAAGGAGGTTGCTGTGGGATGAAAACCTGTTGCCTGACTTCTTTATTTTCTTTTGGTGCGCCTTTAGGGGATGAGCTGCCTCTTCCCTGGGCTGCGACTTCATTCCCAGTCCCTTCTTCCCTTTCTTCCAGGGAAACCATCTCCACGGCAACCTCAAACCTCCAGGCTCTGCCTCGGAGCTGCTCACCCATCCCCAGGACCTGGCGGGTAAGTGCCTGGGCAGGACCGGCCGTGGTGGCCGTGGCCACCGGGTCCATCAGGCTGCTGCAGGCACCTCGGTGCAGCCCGGGGAGGTGAGGGCTGGTGTTGGGCTTGGCTGGTGTGTGGGGGTATATAAACCTCATAGCCCGGCTCCCCTCATCCTCAGGGCTTGGCTCGGGCTTCGTACAGCCTTAAAAATGGGTGGCCACGGCTGTCCTCGTGAGGGAAAAAGCTCTGCCCTGGCTGGGTCAGGGTGAAGCCTGGTGCTGCTCCGCTGCGGAGGCTCTGCCTGGGGTCAGGGATGTGTTGGTCAGTGTTGCTGCTGGTCGTTCATCCATCAGTAACGATCTTGGTTAGACCACGACCAAGCCTGGTACCAATCTTTTGTATTTTCCATCACATCAGAGTCCTAGGGAGAGCAGCAGGGCCAGCAGCTGGAGATGGGGACTGTCCCTTGCTGGTGCTGCCTGGGCTCAGAACGCGGTGTCACCGTGATCCCGACGGTGGTGATGACAGCCGCGCTGGGCTGCCCAGCTCCTGCCGTGTGTGTCCATCCCTGGCGCTGTGCGGGAGGGTGGCGATGCTCCGGCCATGGGCAGAAATGGGCCCTCTCAGATGGGGCTTATCACTGGGGGCTTGGTGGTTCTTGGTGCAGGAGGAAAAAAAAAACAGTTCATTTCTGGCATAATTGGGATTAATGATGTGGAACTGGAGGGAAAAAAAGATGTGTAAGGGTGGGTGTGCTTTGCCTGGAGCTGGTTTCTGGGAGGGGAGGCTGAACTGGAGCGTGGTGGTGGGGATGCTGTGGCTGCCAGCGGGCACTGGGGTGGTGGGCAGTGCTGGGTGACATCTCTGCCCATGGCACTGACCCTCTCTGTCCCTCGGTCCCCACAGGACAGGATGAAGCTGCTGGGTGCTGTGCTGCTGGCTGCCTGCCTGCTGGGCACTGCTGCCGGGGGGGAGCAGCATCCCTGGTCAGATGAGCCGTCACGGACCTGCTTCTTCCAGATGCTCAGCAGCATGGACAGAGAGTTCTGCAGGTGAGTGGCTCCCCGTTGTCTCCTTTCCAAACTGGAAAGGATGCCCTGGGCATCCAGTCACACGTTGCCCTTGCGTGTCACCTCCCGAGACAGTTAATTCCAGTTCCCCCTCTGCCAGGGCTATAAATATTGGTTGCTTTCTTCTTTTTCGCCAGGAATCTGGGCCAGGGCGAAGCAGAGCGGTGCCTGCCACTCTCTGCAGCTCTCGTTTTATGCAAGCCGAGATCTTAGTGTCTCTGGTCACCTCGACTTGTTCCTTGGTCTGTTTTGCAGAGGCTTTTAAAAGCGACTTACGGCATCGGAGATGACAGAGGTTTTCTGCAGAAAGTTTCAGAGGAAGCAGGCTGCTTCTGGGGGAAGGGAAGTGCTAGAACAGGTCATCCCACAGCCCTCGGAGCCCGTGCTGCGGAGATACTCATGCCCAAATGTGGGCATGGGGAGAGCACCGAGCATGAGGGAGGCTAATCCCAGAGTGGTGGGGGTGGGAAGGTCCCTCTGGAGCTCCCCCATCCCACCCCCCGCCAGAGCAGGGGCACCTCCAGCAGTGGCACAGGACAGCGTCCAGGTGGGTTTGGGATGGCTCCAGAGGGGGAGACTCCCCCACCTCTCTGGGCAGCCTGTGCCACTGCTCTGCTGCCCTCACAGCAGAGAAGGCCCTCCTCAGGTGGAGATGGAACTGCCCATGGTCACGTTTGTGCCCGTTCCCTCTTGTCCTGTCACTGGGCACCGCTGGAAACAGACTGTCCCCACCCCCCGGCACCTCCCTTGAAGGAGTGATCAGCGTTGATAAGATCCCCCTCAGTCTTCTCTTCTCCAGACTGAACAGCCCCACGTCCCTCAGCCTCTCCTCATCACAGAGATGCTCCAGTCCCCTCAGCATCTCTGTAGCCCTTTGCTGGACCCTCTCCAGCAGTTCCCAGTCCCTCTCCCGGAGCTGTGAGCAGGCAGTTTGCTGCTGTACCTGCTGCCCCCCCTCTCCCAGTTGAAAAGCCACCAAATGCACCCCGTGATCCAATGTTTTGATACCGGAGGTCCTTGGTTTAAACTCTTGTTGCCCCCCATGTCCAGCAAACCCGCAGGCAAGGCTGGGGGAGCAGTGACACACGTGCCCCCCCCCCCTTGCCTTTGGGGGGTTCTTAATATCCCGCATTACTGGGAGCTTCTGCATCAAACCCATCATTTCTGCTACTTAGTTAACCAAAATGCTCTCCAAATGTGAGCGACTTCAGCTTCTAGACGGAGGCAAGTGGAGACTTTGCTTGGCCCCAGCTTCCTCCCACAAACCACCACCAAAAGTACCGTGTTTTGAACTCTCAGCCCGCTCTGCACCGCTGCCGGCGTTTGCTCCGTGGCCCCTCGGGCTGCAGGATTTAAGGGTCCCTCCTGTGAGGGTGATGTCGGTGGCAGATGATGTTCAGGGGGTGCTCGAGATGTGCCGCCCACCTGCTGCGGTGACCCGAGAGCTCTCTCCGACGGCACCTTTCTGTGTTGGATAATGCAGAAGGGGAAGGCACTTCATGCAGAAGTCAGAGCTGGAGGTATCTGACCTGCTATGGCACTGTCGGTGCCCAAAATACAGAGGAGCCCTGTCCCTGCTTTCATATCACGAACGGGAGAAGGGCTTGTCCAAGGCCAGTCAGGAGGAGGCGTAACTTTGCTCTCCAAACCTTAGATTGACCCATATGGGTCATGATTGATTTTTTTTTTTAAAGACTATGAAAAATACTGGGAACGATCCCAGTGTGCTGAGCAGTAATGGATGTTTAAAGTCCTGCTGCCGCTTGGGGGAAGGAGCAGCCCCCATGGTTGTGTTCCAGCATGGGAGGGCGCTTATCCTGCTGCAGAAGGTGCCCAGCACCTCTGGTGACAGCAGGTTGGATCCTTCATGTCCCACCCAGCATCGTATCCCAGCTCAAGCCTGGCTGGGATGCAGCACCAATTCCCATCCCCTGCGTGGTGCGGTCTCATCCTAAGAGCTCTTTTTCTCCCCTTTTTCACCCCAGAGGGGATTTAGAAGTTATCTACCCGGAGCTGGGCGACGTGGCCTGCATGTACATCCCCAAGTGCCACCAGTACCGGCGGCGGATCAGCAGGGAGTGGGGCAGCCCCCGGGTTCGGTACCCCCAAGCTGAGAAGGTGAGTCCCGAGTCGCGTCGCTGGCGGGCAGCTGCCTTTGCTCCACGCTTCTCCGTGTGAATTCAAGATGTAGCCGGATCGTTGGGGAGGAATTTGCTGGGAAAGGATTGCTTACCCACGTGTGTGCTTGAACTTTGAGCTGTGACGTCCTGGCTGGGAGCAGGGTGGGCAGGGACACTCAGCGCCTGCGCTTTGGGTGCTGGGGACGGCCCCGGGACCTGTTGACCCTGTGCCATGCACGGCTTAGCACCGCTGTGCCGCCGCCAAAGCGCTATCGGTTGCTCTGGTTGCGCTTGTTGAACTTTTGCCTGAAATCAGGATGACATTTTAAGTTCTGGGGTTTTTGCTTTTTTTTTTTTTTTTTTTTTTTTCCCCCATTCCTTTGG